GGTTTTAGAAATATATATCAGAGATCGAGAGAAGCAAAGAAATTTTTTTAAAAAAAAAATTCAAGAAACACTCGCTTTGATACCATTGTTACGATTTAAACTTCAGATCTTTAAGGATCGACAGATTCAAAAATTAAAAAAGAGTGCAGAAAATCAAAAAATTAACAAAAGATATGTTTTGCCCTTTTAAAAGGGCCCGAATTTTCGATTTTTCAACCTAATCACCTGTTGAGCATCTCCTAAGAGATTAAGCTCCATATCCACTAATATCGATCAAAAATCAATATACAGATGTACGCAGAAATTGGAAACTTCATCGAGTTTTTCTTGATTAAAGACCATTTGGGAAGAATTAAGCAACTATAGGCCTATGTGTTCATGTGCCAAATGTGAATGTGGAGGTCACAAGAAGCTTATTGATCACTATCATACCGAATATATGATGTCTTTTTTAATGGGATTGAATGATTCCTTTGCTCAAGTTAGGGGACAATTATTGTTGATGGATCTCATTCTTCCTATAAACAACGTATTTTCACTTGTACCTCAAGAGGAGCAGCATTCGTAAACATCAACAATGGTGCATCGAATTCTATGGTTTTTAATGTTAGAAATGACCTGAAGAAGCCCAATACAAGCCAGACACACAACAAATATCAGAGGAAGGAGAGACCCTGTGCACTTATTGTGGTTACAGTGGGCATGTAGTTGACAAGTGTTATAAGCTGCATGGTTATCCTCCAGGGTACAAAGGTAAACAGAAAACTGTTCCAAATCTAATGCATCATTCTGGCCATCATGTTGCTGCTGCAAACCAGATTTTGATTCCAATCCAAAGCATACATATGACAATGTAGGGAACTTTGTGCAAACACTAAATCCTACACAGTATCAACACTTATGCTGAGTACTCACTTTTCAGCTGCAAAGGGCGACACAAAAGGAGATGGTGAGGGAGATCATGTATCAGGTACCTGTCTGTCCATCTCTTATAATTCAATACCTAATTCCAATAAATGTTGGGTTGTGGACTCTGGAGCTACTGCTCATATTTGTTTCACAAAGTCATCATTTCTGTCAATGAATGCCATCCAAAATGCTTATCTCACGTTGCCTAATCGTCAAAGAATTCCTGTCCTCTACAAGGGTACTATGAAAATCAGCTCTAATTTAACTTTCAAGGATGTCCTATTTGTGCCCCAACTGAAGTCAATCTACTATCTATTAGTTAATTGACAAAGGATTCATCTATAATCATCAAGTTCTTCACTAACTTGTGCATTATTTAGGATCCATCTAGCTTGAGAAAGATTGGCAAGGCTAGAAATGTGGCAGATCTTTACTTATTGGAAGCAAATTTTTCTATTTATGATTTTAACGTTTGTAATGCCTTTAGTGAAATGTCTATTTCTATTGGCTCAACAATAAATAATGTGACTTCTCACACTTGGCATGACAGACTTGGGCATTATCCTACTAGGAAATGCAGTTGTTAAGAGATCAATTACATCTTCCACATAATGATCACAAAGAAAATAAATATGTTCCCTGCCCTTAGCAAAGCAAAGAAGATTATCATTTGTGTCAAATAACCATCTATCCCCAAATGCATTCGAACTTGTTCATTGCGATAATTGGGGACCATATCATGCCCCAACCCATGCAGGCCACAGATATTTCCTCACTTTGGTAGATGATTGCACACGGTTCACATGGATATATCTCATGAAGCAAAGATCAGATGTTGAGTTCATTATTCCTAAGTTTTTTCAAGATGGTTGCAACATAGTTCCACAAGGTAATTAAAACCTTTAGATCTGATAATGCACCAAAACTAAAATTTGTGGATTTTTTTGCTTCAAAGGGAGTTTTCCATCAATTTTCATGTGTTGATAGACCTGAGCAGAATTCAGTGGTAGAGAGGAAACAACAACACTTCCTAAATGTGTCTAGGTAATTGTATTTTCACTCACAAGTCCCAATTCAATTCCAGGGAGAGTGTGTCCTTACAGCCACCTTCTTTATAAATCGAACACCCTCTCCCATTATAAATAATAAAACACCATTCTCTCTTCTTTACGGCCTACCAATAGATTACACAAATCTCAGAATTTTTGGGTCCCTGTGTTTTGCTTCAACATTACCCTCTCATAGGTCCAAGTTTTACCTAAGAGCTAAACTATGTGTGTTTGTCAACTATCCCCCTGGAGTAAAAGGCTACAAGCTATATGACATATCCTCCAAAACCTTTTTCATTTCCAGAGATGTGGTCTTTCATGAGTATCTTTTCCCTTTTTCTTCCATCCCACATGAAAATGATCTTATTGATCCCTTTCTTGACATTGTTTTACCCAAACTTGCACATGATATTGCTCCGCCGTCTACCTCAGTACATGATAATCAACCCATAATCGTTGATCACAACACACAATCAAGTCCTCAACCTGTTACTCTTAGAAGATCTGGTAGGACCATCAAGCCACCTTCCCACCTTCGAGAATTTCATTGTAATCTCTTGAAAAACTCACTTGAGATGTCAAACTTTGCTACTCATTATCCTTTACAAAAATACTTGTCCTATAAATCCTTTTCACCTGCACATTGTAGTTATTTACTGAACGTCTCCTCTATTTTTGAACCACAATATTACCATGAAGCAGTTAAATATAGTTCTTGGAGAGAAGCAATGGCAGCTGAGTTAGAGGCAATGGAATCAAACAACACCTGGTCAGTCGTACCTCTTCCTACAGGAAAACATTCAATTGGGTGTAAGTGGGTATACAAGATCAAATACAAATTTGATGGAAGCATTGATTGACACAAAGCATGGCTTGTTGCTAAGGGATACACTCAGCAAGAGGGGTTGGATTTTGTTGAAACTTTTTCCTTGGTGGCAAAGCTTGTTAATGTGAAAATTCTTCTGGCAATTGCTGCTATCAATCAATGGCACATTACTCAAGTGGATGTAAATAATGCCTTTTTGAATGGGGATTTATTTGAGTAAATATATATGGATCTTCCTCTAGGTTACAACGAACAGTCTGCAACTGATGCACAAAGGGAGAGCAAGCTAGTGTGCAGGTTGCACAAGTCTATATACGGTCTTAAGCAAGCTTCAAGGAAGTGGTTTTCAAAAAATTTTAGTGCCCTCATCTCACATGGTTACACACAATCTAGATCGGATTATTCTCTTTTCACTAAGGGTTCTGGTAAGACTTTTGTGGCCCTTTTAGTGTATGTCGATGATATAATAATCAATGGTTCAGATAGTGCAGCCATCAGGTCTCTTAAAATATTCCTACACAGTCAATTCAAATTGAAAGATCTTGGTCAATTGAAGTATTTCCTTGGATTGGAGATTGTTCGTTCACAGAAAGAGATTTTTCTTTGTCAACACCAATATACTCTTCAATTATTGGAGGATGCCAGTTTTTTGGCTTGCAAGCCAGCCTTACTGCCCATGGATCCCAAGGCTCGCTTGTGTTCATTTGAAGGAGAACCTCTAGTTGATGCTTCATAATATCGAAGACTAATTGGCATGTTGCTCTATTTGACTATCTCCAGTCCGGACATCACGTTTGCAACACACAAATTGAGTCAGTTTGTCTCTAAACCTAGGCAACCTCATCTCATTGTAGCTCATCACCTGCTACAATACCTCAAATCAACTCCTGGACAAGGTCTTTTCTTTTCGACCACCTCCACTTTTCAACTTCGAGCTTTTGCTGATGCTGATTGGGGGTCTTGTCTCGACACAAAGAAGTCCATCACTGGCTTTTGTGTATTCCTTGATGATTCTTTGGTGTCTTGGAAAGCAAAGAAACAAAATACTATATCACGCTCTTCAGCTGAAGCAGAATATAGAGCTTTGGCAGCCACTACCAGTGAGCTCATTTGGATTCATCAATTGCTACTTGATCTCCAGATTTCTCCTCCAGCTCCCACTCTCATATTTTGTGACAATCAGTTTGCCATACACATTGCCACCAATCCTATTTTCCACGAAAGAACCAAACATATAGAAATAGATTGTCTTTTCATTCGGAATAAACTCATAGATGGCTTTGTCAAACAACTTCCAATTCGAAGCCAGCACCAATTGGCAGACATTTTTACTAAGCCTTTGCCAGCCAATCTTCTTTTTCCCTTGATGTCCAAGATGACCATTATTAATCCTCATAGTCCATCTTGAGGGGGCGTAACAGAATACAAGCTACTGGAAGCTTGAAGAAACTGCTAGAATCAGCCAGGGAGTAGCAAACGGATTCAGCTATTAGTTAGTTGTAAATATACATGTGCCACAATTGTATTGGTTAGTTTGTTGATCAAAATTTCTATTTATACCGGGTTGTAAATATCATTTATATGAGATGAATAAAATTCATTCTTTTCTTCTATTTTCCAATACAATCCAATCAATTATTTCAACTACTTGACTTCATATGCTTAGTCCTTAACGGCAAAAGAATTGACTTCACATAAATATTCACGATGTTATAACATTCATCATTTTTAAAAAGCAAATACTGTGGAGGATTTGACCCATTTAATTGCAATGTGAATCGGCGCCAGGCTAGGTATCCAGTTTCCCTTGCCGACCAGCCTGGCCAAGCCAGTTTTTAAAACACTAAATCTAATGGGAGCCTTCATAAAGGGAGAGTTTAGTCTGAATTTTTTATTTCACGTTCCAAGATTCCAACTAGACAGATGTGATGCAAAAATTAAATTACTTTGATTTCATTGACTTGAATTATCATTTATTAAATTATCGCGTAAGCTTGTATTAGGTGTTTAACAAACAATTGTGTGGAAAATTCTCCTTCAAATAATTAGTTGTGTGTGGATCAAATCTTCCTTTTTGTTATTTATAGTTTCTGGCAGTTTTTCCAATGGTCTATTGCAGATTGTGATGATCTTTCTTTGTAACAATCTGACCAAAATTTATTCATACAGCTGATATACCAATAAATCTATAGTTTATATCCGGTTTTGTTCTGAAAATGATTGCTGATAAGAAGATTTTTCGACAATTTGTCATGTTAATTATTGTACCTTCACTTCTAAGTTTGAGAGCTGGGTTTGGAAACTCTTCAAGGGTGAATGATGTTAAAATCAGGTGCCTAGAGAAGGAGAGAGAAGCTCTTCTCAAGTTCAAAGATGAGCTTATTGATGAACATGGCCTACTCTCTTCTTGGGGAACAGCCATAGATAGAAGGGATTGCTGCGAATGGAGTGGTGTCCAGTGTCATAACCAAACGAATCACGTTATTGTGCTAGATCTTCATGGCCGGCTTAACAACTCTGGACTTTTTAGTCGTCTACGAGGTAATGTTAGCCAGTGGTTGCTGGAATTACGATATTTGAATTATCTAGACCTAAGTGCAAATGATTTCAATCTTGGTAGAATCCCAGAATTCATTGGCTCCCTAGGCAAATTACAACATCTCGATCTTTCTGCTTCTAATTTTGGTGGGCCAATTCCGCATCACCTTGGTAACCTTACCCAATTGCAATTTCTTAGTCTCAAAGGATACAATAATCATATGTTAACTAGCACCAATCTTGATTGGCTTTCTAAACTTCATTTGTTAAACTACCTTGAGTTGACTCATGTGAATCTCAAAGAGGCGACCGATTGGATACAAGCAATAATGAAACTACCTCGACTCCAAGATTTACGCTTGTCATCTTGTCACCTACAACCTGTCCTTTCTCCCTATCCCATGACCAATGCATCTAATTCTCTTTCTGTCCTTGATCTCTCCGACAATGAACTCTCCTCTTCTTCGGTATTTCCTTGGTTGTTAAACTTCAGTAGTACCCTGAGTTACGTTAAACTCGATTTCAATAATTTACAAGGTCCCATTCCTCATGCTATCGGCAATATCGTTTCCCTTGAGACTCTTTCTCTCTTTCACAATGAACTTGAAGGTAGTATTCCTCTATCCTTTGGGAATCTGAGTAGTTTAAAATTTTTAGATTTGTCTTTCAACAATCTTAGTGGCACTGTGACAGAAAGAATTGGAACCCTTGCCAAACTCAAGTATTTGGGACTTGAAGCAAACCAACTTGAAGGCATAATCATCGAAGCTCATTTTTCCAGTCTCTCCCAGTTACAATATTTGAGCTTGAACTACAACCCGTGCATCTCTTTCAATTTCAGTTCTGGGTGGATTCCTCTTTTTCAGTTGACTTCATTGTGGTTGGGGGGTTGCAAAGTGGGGCCACATTTCCCCAAATGGCTTAAATCACAAAATGAATTAATTGAGCTCGATATCTCAAATACTTCAATTAAAGATACCTTCCCGGATTGGTTTTGGGATCTATGTCCCAAATTAGTGGTTTTAGACGTATCACGTAACAACATTCATGGTGTCCTTCCTGATCTTTCATCAAAGTTCTTCACTTTCAATTTCATAGATTTGAGTTCTAATCATTTTAATGGTTCATTACCAAGTTTGCCTCCAAATGGATTAGTATTAAAGCTGTCAAACAACAAATTTTTTGGTTCAATTACCGTTTTGCGCAACAAAACTGATTGGGTTTATCTTGACCTTTCAAATAACCTTCTGTCAGGAGATCTTCCAGATTGTTTTGCAAATCTGGAAAACTTGGAGTTTCTTAATTTGGCACATAATAATTTTTCTGGGAAGATCCCGTCACTAAATAGCATTGCTTCTTTACATTTACAAAATAATAGTTTTACGGGAGAATTTCCAGCGTCTTTGAAAAATATCCCTTTTCTAGAATTCATTGATCTTTCAAAAAATAAGTTGACCGGTAAAATACCAGAATGGTTGGGGGATAGTTTGCCAGAATTGGTATTTTTAAGTTTACAGTCCAATCAGTTTTCTGGTAATATTCCTTCAAATTTGTGTCATTTATCCCATATACAAGTCTTGGATATCTCTTTGAACAAGATTTCAGGTGCTATACCAAAATGCCTAAACAATCTCACTGCAATGATTCAAGAAGTCGAATCAGATTCATATATCGTAGATCTTCCTTTTATGCTTGAACATGAGAGGGCAAATGTAAGGTGGAAAGGAGAAGATGCCGAGTACAAAACTACTCTTAAACTGGTGAAACTCATTGATCTTTCGAGCAATAATTTAGAAGGTGAAATTCCTTCTGAAATTACAAGTTTGGTAAATTTGGTTGGGTTGAATCTTTCAAGAAACAACCTAATTGGGTTCCTTCCTCCAAAGATTGACCAACTTAAGTCTTTAAATTTTCTTGATTTATCACGAAACCAACTTTCTGGTGAGATTCCTGCCAGTTTTTCTCACTTGGACCGACTTGGAGTGTTAGATATGTCACATAATAATTTGTCGGGCAAAATTCCATGGACTGCTCATTTAACAACTTTCAACGCTACATCATATGCGGGAAATTCAGGACTTTGTGGCCCTCCACTTACAAAAGTATGCCCTGGAGATGAAATTGCTCAAGACCCAAAGTTTATTGGTAATAACAGTGGGATGAAAAATATAGATGAGGAAGACAAGCTAATCACTGAAGGATATTACTTTAGTTTGTTAATTGGGTTCATGTTCGGACTTTTGGGAGTAATCGGGACGTTACTGCTCAATCAGTCATTGAGGCTTACATATTTCAAGTTCTGGAATATAGAGTAGATTTGTTTTATGTGAAGATAGACATATGTAATAACACTATTTAACAAAATTCTGTTTCCTTTGTGTTTGTCAACTTCTAGTTTGCCAATTGATGGTGAAGTATTTAGCAAACTAGGATGCATGGAAACTCTTTTCGGGACGGATGGTTCATGTCTGATACATAAATTTTTGTTTGATACCGATTTTTCATAGACACACTATGACATGACCGACAAGTCACATATCGTTTCCTATTTTTTATATATATTTTCATTCCTTGAACAAATATTCGACATAATATGTGCCGTCTCCTATATTAAAAAGTATAAATAAAAATTTTATATACAAAATTTAAAATTTTAAAGAATTCAAATTGATTTATCCATATCCTAATTTTTAGAAAATCACGTGTTTTCTTGTCTATGTCGTGTCGTGTCTGTGTCCTTGCCCGTTGCTTGAATTTGATAGTGCCTCCTTTAGTTTTTTCATGTAATTATATTGGTTCTAGTTAATATCTAGAATAAGCAGTACTTTGCCTTTCCTTAACCTCTGGTTTCAAAATCTTCATCCACCAGTTGAATAATTTCTTCACTTTAGGCATTTTTCAACCGCGACTTTGGCAGCTCGGTCGCATCCATTGGCTCCTTAAGCTCATCCTTTTGGGTAAGTTCGGTTACACCCTATTGGTTAAAATAAGATTAGGGAATTGTATTGAATTGGATTACGAATATTGTTCTCGTACGAAATTTGGTATTTTATTTTATTACGAGACCATATAAGTAGTAAAAAAATTATATATAGAAAGTAAAAAAATTATGACTATTTTTACTTATAAGAACTATTTTAAACTTATTAAGTGACTTTTTTTCTACTTGCAATTTACTTATTAGGAAATATATTTACTTGGAAGTAAATTTTATACTTAAAAAAGTATTTTATACAAAATAACTAAAGTTTATTCTTAAGTAATTTTTTAATTATATATACATTTTTTAGTTATAAGTGAATTTTATACTTATAACTAACTTTTATATAAATGAGTTTTTAAACTGATCTTTTTATTTTATTTTTTTTACTTATAAGTGAATTTTATCTTACAAGTGAGTTTTTTGCTTATAAGTTAATTTTTATCTTATATGTAACTTTTTTTACTTATAAATAATTTTTTTAGTTGTAAGTAAATTTTTTACTTGTTAGTAAACTTTTTAGGTAGAAGTAGTTTTTTCATTTAAAATAAATTTTTTTACATTAATCAATTTTTTAACATAAAAAATTATCATTGTTTAATAAATTATTTTCTATTTGCAAGTAAATTTTTACTATAAATGAATTTTTTACTTATAATTAAACTTTTTCTTTAGTCCACACCCCAAATTGGTGATCAATTGCATTATTCACAAATTTTCGTGCATTATTTCGACATTTCCACTCGATTGAATATAGAATTAACTGTGATAGTGCGACCAAGTCAATGGCTGTTATGGTCGACCTTGGTGATCAATGCATTGGTATAATTTGAAAAAGAAAGCCACTTCCCTTGGAATATTTGGCTACAGCGAAATTGTGATGTTCAAAGGAAATGGATTAACCATTTTCCACTTTCCGACTCATAATTAGTCTTCCACTAAGTAACTGAAAAAAAGAGTTGAATTCTAAATTACAGATAAAATGGGATGACTTTAAGGATTGAAAAAGATTGATCATGACATTTTTTACTTGTATAAGTTGGGCTATGTAACAATGAGCTTCGTCGTTTGAATATTAGTGAGATGGTGGTGGAATAATATCTTACCGTCTACCTGGTGGCGTTTGGCGTTCCTGCTACTCCGTTGGGCGTGTGTAATATAAAAAATCAAGGGTGGGCTTTTTCTCATGTTTTACCTCCGGTGTGATAATCAGTAAATGATATTAGGAAATATGAAGATGGAATTTAGATGGCTAGGAAAAAATGCTATCGTCCCTACTTGTGTCTCCCTCGGAGGTATTTATAGGCGTCAGAAGTCGGGTGGTAATGGTGCCACGTGTCCCACGTTGGCCTCTCCACCATCCCCACGTTCTGAGTGGGGGATTTTAACTTCCCACTCAGAGGTTAGGTCTGAGGTAACCGTCATGTATCATACTCAATTCATCCGGGATTTTATGGCTAAATGTTGAGATGACCATATAGACAATTTTACATTGGTCGGCGATCTTACGTAGAGGTAGAGCCCCCCCGGGGGTCGACGGTCATGCATAGAGATAGAGCCCCTCCCTCCTGGGGGGAGGGGGAGGCGACGACCTCTCGTTGAGATAGAGCACCTGGAGTTGAGATAGAGCACCTGGAGGGTAGGTAGTCTCGTGTGGAGGTAGAACGTCCTGGGGGGTCGACAGCTTCTCATTAGCGTGCAGTGATTTACATTGCTTATCTTCGAAGGCGGTTTCCTATGTTAACTGATATCATTAGCTCCTACCCCCTGTTGATATTTTTTCGACAGAGGGGTAGCAACTTCCTTTATCTGAATTTTTTTATATAAAAATAAAACTACTTTGAATAAATAAGTCGAGTGGTACAATTTAGTTTGGGAGGCTGTTTCACTGTACATTTGGCACCCAACCAATGGACATAATCTTGGAGGGAATTTCCCCCCCAAAAATTTTGAATCCCTTTTGCCTATAAAAAGGGTGGTGATCTCCTATTTGAAATCATTTCCACTCATCCTCAACATCCTAGATTTTTTCCTCCTCAAGGTAGCATTCTCCTCTTTCATTCCAAGATTTTTACTTAGAATGTTTGCTTTTCCCCTCTTCTTTCTCCTCTTCCTTCAACGAGAGTGGCGACGAGAAGTGTAATAGGTCGATCGAACCTTCGTCGGAAGGACCGGTCGACTCCGACGGTGGGCTGGTCGGCTACCAACAAAGCTGGTCGAGCAGCGACAAGCCTCGCGGCTGGTCGGGGGTCGGCCAGTCTTCGGGCTAGCCGAGCTTCAGCCTCTTCCCGAGCCGGTCGTTCTTCTGACTCCTTGAATAGGCTGCCTAGTGAATCCTTCCCTTCATCCGATAGATCCATTCGTGATTCCGATAACAGGACTTCTTCAATCGAACCTCAAATGTTTGTTTTTAATTCTCCTAAGAGACATATTGGCTCTACCAAACTTCCCAATCAAAACTTAGAAATTGGGCGAGATCCGGTTGGTGAGATTGTCCCTCTCGAGATTCCAAGAGGTTATAGCCTTTACAATTCCCCGCTCAAGTTAGAGAAATGTCTTGCTAGGTATGACCGGGTCGATGACTATGTCTATAGAGCCCCCGATCCCAAAGAAAGGCTCCCCGAGTCTGACCCCCACGAGATAGGGGTGTATAAGGACATCATGGATGGCGGTTTTCGGCTACCCGTTCATCCCTTATTTGTGTCAATTTTCAATGAGTTTCATCTTACTCCTAGCCAAATAAACCTAACGCTTGGAAAAAAAAGCATTGTACTTCTTGTATGTTTGCCTTAGGAGGATAATTCCACTTTCCATAGACCTCTTTAGGTGTGTCTTTGAGATGCATGAACTAGTTCAGTGCAATGCGTTTGTCTTTTTAACCACTAGGGTCCCTTTGCTATTTTCTAGGTTCAGGAATTCAAATAGCGGGTGGAAATCTCGATTCTTCTTCGCCCAGCCTTCAGTAGGTCGGTTTCCTTTCAATACCAATTGGTGGCATTCTCAAATTCGCCTTTTCAATAGTCAAGTAGAAGCTTCATCTACTCTAAAAGCTCAAATCTAACAGTTGGTTGATATACTCCCTCTCGCACCTGACTTAGGATCGGTCCTGACCATGAGGAATATGTTGATAGTGGGGATGAGTTGTCCTACTGATAGGTTGCTTTCCTGGTTTCTATTATTTTTTACTTGCACATATTTTTTATTTGTTGCTTTTTAGGACTAATCAGTTTGGTTATGTGCATACATATATGGACTTCGATCTGGACGAGGTATTGAAGACCCTATCGAAAAGTGACGAGGGCCTTGCTCTCATTGACGGTAAACTCTTGAGCCTTTCTTCCTTGTTTTGTGTTTTCACACTCTTTTGTTTTGTGAGCCTAACTACCTTGTATGTACAGGGATAAAATTTGACCTGGAGGGGACCATGGATTCTATGCCTGAATAAGGGCATAAAAGTGATATTGACACATCCCCGTCCCTTTAAAGAGGAAAAAGACAGCTGACCAAGGGGGAAGGTCTCAGGTGGCAAAAGAGACTCCCTAGCTCTCAGACGAGCCTATCGAGGTTGCTCTTGTTCCTAGGTCGGGTTCTTCTAGTCGCACGCGGGGTAGCGTGAGGATTCACTTCCTAATTTCAGGTTTCCTCCCACCCGGGGTTATCATGAGATGGGGATGCTTAAGTATTTGGTAACACCCGCACGGGCCAGGGCAATTGCAGGACGTAGCGCAGACGATATCGAAAGGGCTGCGGCGGTCTATCTCTAGAGGGTATGCTTCTAATTCCAATTTTCTTTTACACTGAGTCTTATCTTTTGATCATCATTTTACCACGCGACTCTCTCATTGTCTCCTCATCCTTTAGGTGGTGGCCCTTCAGACCAAGCTTGCTAAATCGAGTCGTCGTCAGGCCTTAGAGTTGAAGACTCTTGTAGAAGAAAAGAAGAAAGAGACCCATCATTATAAGAAAAAAAGATAGTTTCCTTCAAGAAATCTCTAGAGGCGTCGGAAGCTCGAGCCCGCGAGCAGGAGACAGAGAATGACAATTTTTGGTCTGCGTTGGCTCGTGCTCCGGAGGAGGCGGTTGAGAGGTATAAGGCCTTTGTCGAGTATACTAAGGACTTAGATGCATCGGTGAAGCAGTACAAGTCATCGTCTGACTAGGTCAGGGACTTGCATTCGTACGGGGGAAGGCCCTGGCGGCATCTATCAAACTAACCAAGGAGTGGATATCGATCGAGCACCCTTCTATTGACCCCTCAGGTTTTGATAAGTTTCTTGTGCAACGTAAGGGGAAGGAGAGTAGGGTGTAGCCATCCAGGTCACTTAGTCATTCGTC